TGCTGGGATCTCTACAATCTATGAGGCCTGTTGGGATTCATCCCAGAATCCTAAAGAGCTGGCTGATGTCATTATAAAACCTCTCTTGGTGATTTTTGAGCAGTCTTGGGAATCCAGAGAGGTCCTAGATGACTGGAAACTGGCAAACATCGTCCCAGTTTTCAAGAAGGGCAAGAAGGAGGACCCTGGGAACTACAGGCCTGTCAGTCTCACTTCAGTGCCTGGTAGTGGAGAAGATGCCTTATGGAGAAGATTATCCTGGGAAATATTCAAAAACACCTGAAAGACAAGGCAGTCATTGGTCACAGCCAGCATGGCTTCATGAGAGGAAAGTCCTACTTATCCAACCTGATTTCCTTTTACGACAAGGTAGCCCACCTTGTTGATCAAGGGAAGCCAGTTGATGTAATCTTTTTGGACTTCAGTAAAGCTTTCAATACTGGCTCTCATAGGATCCTTCTGGACAAAATTTCCAGCACACAGCGGGATAAACACATCATGTGATAGGTGAGCAATTGACTCATGGTTCAAGCGCAGAGGGTGATAGTGAATGGGGTGACATTAGACTGCTGACCTGTCGTTAGTGGGATTTCACAGGGCTCCATCTTGGGCCCTGGGCTCTTCAACATCTTTGTAAATGACAAGACTGGAAGGGATACTCAGCAAGTTTGCAGATGACGCAAAACTAGAAGGAGCTGTTAACTTCCTCAAAGGCAGGGAGACCCTACAGAGAGACCTCGACGTATTAGAGGACTGGGCAATCACCAACCATGTGAAGTTCAACAAGGGAAAGTGCCAGATTCTGCACCTGGGATGGGGCAACCCTAGGTGTATGTACAAACTGGGGAATGAGATGCTGGAGAGCAGTGTCATGGAAAGGGACCTGGGGGTCCTGGTCAATGGCAACTTGAATATGGGTCAGCAGTGCCCTGGCAGCCAAGAGGGCCAACCATGTCCTGGGGGGCATAAGGCAAAGCACTGCCAGCTGGTCGAGGGAAGGGATTGTCCCACTCTGCTCTGCACTGGTGTGGTCTCACCTGGAATATTGTGTGCAATATTGGGCACCACCATATAAGAAAGATATTCAGCCATTAGAGAGTGGCCGAAGGAGGGAAACGAAGATGGTGAAGACCTTAAGGGGAAGCCATGTGAGGAGCGGCTGTGGTCACTTGGTCTGTTCAGCCTGGAGAAGAGAAGACTGAGGGGAGACCTCATTGCAGTCTACAACTTCCTCACAAGGGGAAGAGAAGAGGCAGACACTGATCTCTTCTCTGTGGTGACAAGTGACAGGACCCAAGGGAATGGCCTGAAGTTGTATCAGGGGAGGTTTAGGTTGAATATTAGAAAAAGGAGGATGGTTGGGCACTGGAACAGGCTCCTCAGGGAAGTGGTCACAGCACCAAGCCTGGCAGAGTTCAAGAAACATTTGGATGATACTCTCAGGCACATGGTGTGACTCTTGAGGTTGGTCCTGTACAGGCCTAATGGTTGGACTTGATGATCCTCGTAGGTCCCTTCCAATTCAGCATATTCTGTGATTCTGTAAAGACCTGTGTGGATCTTGGCTTATATCTTATTGATCCTCATGCAGTACCTTGTTTTAATAATTTCTGGTTTTTGTAATCATCTCCATGTTTTGTGGAGTCCTGATTTATAGCTATTTCAAGATTCACTTTGTGATAAAAGAATGAAGGATGATTATAATTTCTGGGCTTTGAGATCCCATGTTGGTAATGTCTAACACACCTAGGCATTGACATGGGAGGTGCGTCAGTACACTGGCTTTGAAGGTGCCCTTGGACTGGTCCCTGTGTGAACTTGGCTGCCTGTTAGCAGCATGACTACACAGTTTTAGTAAGCTTGGAAAGTTCCTTTAAAGGCTTGCAAAAGGGAAAGGCCCCATTTCAGCACATTTTTACAAGTGACATAATCTTCTCTTAATATTTTTGTATATAAAGCATCGTGTCATTTACCAGGTCAAGAAACTCATTACCAAAGAATTTGTGCCTCTGACTCTAAGAGAGAGTGTTTTTAAACAAAGATTATTGTTGCTGTTCAGCAGCTTTCCTGGGTGTCTTGTTCTTCAGCTGATCCACATTCTTTCCCAGTGAGCAAGATGATAAGGCACTAGTGCCTATTTATAACCAGCAGGGAGAAATACTTGCTTAGTGGTGCAGCACTTAGTGAAGGAAAAAAGGACAAAAAGCAGCCCAGTCCCTAAACACTTACCCTGCGTTCTGCTGTAGGTTGATCCTCTATGTTGACATCCTTACTTCTCTGTGGAGGGCACCATGTGTGACTTGGCCTTTGAAAGCAAAATAAAACAATGTGCTCAGGACTGTGCAAAATGAGTCACCAGGAAACCATGCGTACTTTTCATCTCCTTGCATTTTTTGTGTTTGATTTCTGTTTCTCTGAGAATGGCTTTTTATATGATGGTAGTACTTTGAGGCCCTGATCTGAACTGAAGCCTGCATTGCTAGGCTGTGTCCAAACACATCCTGAGAGACAGGCTCTGCCCTTAAAAGTCAGTGGTCAAAGAGACCCTGACAACAGGAAATAGATATGATGTAACTTTCAAAAAATTATGTCACAGTTCAATCACTTGCATATAGAAGGATCATTTACTTTTCATCTTCTGCCTCCAAACAGTTAAGAGTGAGGTAGCAGGTAAAACAAAGCTCAATAGGCAAGAATCCAACTTCACTGAGTAACTCTGGTCATCACTTGCTATTCCTTGGTTCATTGCCTGGAGGTGAGACAAGAGAAAGAAGAATCTTGGATCTGTTTTTGTCCTCACCACAGTGGTACAAAGATGGCAATTTTCCAGCCTTGCTGGTTTTGTGACTCTACTTTTTTACTTTCTGTTTGTCCCACATAGCATATATATGACATTAGAAATCAACAGCCATCAGCTGAGAGTTAGCCTCCATGCAGAATAGCTTTCCTTTTAGCATCCTGTTCAGATGTGACTGTATGAGAGCTGACAAGGACTGTACTTTTTGCCAGGCCCAGGTGCCTGTTTTCTAATATGGCAGGGAATAGATCAGTAATTTTATTCCTTTTCTAAGAGATGGGAAAAGCTGAGTATTAGGAAAGGGATATTAGGAAGAGACAACACAGATTTACCAAATTTTCAATGAACATTACATTTTTCTTTCTGTGAGGTCTATATCCATACTGTTTCAAGGCATCACTTCACCCACACCTGGATGTCATTTCATGGTGTCTAGTGTGCAGATATCTCTTATGTAAAATATTTGAAGAGTATAATTTCAATAAAACCAATCATTTTCTAAAGATATTAGAGTTCTACTGGAATAATTTTAAAATGTACTGACTATATCATGGCTCACACCCTTTTTAAAGACTTTGGCAGGATGATTTTTTAATTTCCCATAAACTTAATCAAACTGTACTCTTTGTTTAAGAAGTTTTCATCCTTTAATTAGGAAAAGTCAATCTCTGCATGCACCTGTAAACATTCCAATTAGAAAAATCTGAGGAAACTACAGTTCCATTTATTTAATAATTTATTAATTAATTCCTAACATTTGTTTATTATTGTTCTGAAAACTGATCTGAGTTATGAGTAATACTGCTCTGGACATTTAAGCATGTGATTGACAAAAAAAACTCCTTGAATGCCTGAACGAATTGTAATGGGAAAGTGAGCTATGAAACCCCTGTCTGGTACTTTCGCTGTTGATATTTTTTCAAGGTAATGTCTGCATTGTGCCTAGGAGTCACAGTTGTAGACTGGCAACACAATGTGAGTAACACTGCTGGGAAAGGTCAAAAGGGGGTGACTGTTCCACAAATTTATAGTTTTTTTAAAAGAAGATGACAGAGACGGATACCAGCATAAGACTGGTTATAGGTATGCAGTTTTGACATTGTCAACTCTCTGGTAGCCTAACTTTTGTCAAGATTTTCTCAGGCATCATGTCAAAAGAGAGATTTCAATAGGGATTTGAAGGAAACCAATAAGATGGCTTTGCTTTTGAGACTGCATTTGAAAATTGAAATATGTGGAGTTAAGTGACAGTGAAAGATGGAAGTTGATGATCAGTATAGGTGAAATAGGAGGGGATATGGGTACTAGACAGTGATGAGACTGAAGTTTAAGAAGAAACTTAGTTTAAATTGAAAGAAGAGAGGTGAAAGTAGTCAAAGAGATAGATTAGGAAAATTATTGTTGTACTAACTTTCTTGATGGCTAGGAGAAGGGTAACCCTGTATGAATAAATGCAGAGGAAAGAAATTGATATTTCATGGCATGGCTGGGCAGCACACCCAACAGGGGGTTGTGGGGCAGCTTTTCACATAATTTTCCTGCAGAAGTGAGAGACACTTAATGCCGAGGAACTGTCTTGCCAAAGAAGTGCTCTATGCAACTATGCTTCGAAAAATGGCGGCTTCTTTGGCTGCAAGAAGCACTCCTCCAACTTACTCTCTATGAAATAACCCTGTTTCTTCTGTTGAATCTCTCTAGATGGAAAACACAGAAGAAATACTAATCTGTGCTCTATTTTCCCTTACTGCAGAAGGTAAAAGTCCAGGAAAAGAGGTGGTGACACGGGTGTGAGGGACAGATGGCAGAATTCTTCCCACAGCATCTGAAGTGTCCAGAGAGTACCCCGGCTTGTGGAGTTCTCCAGCAGTGAATCCCTCTGCCTGGCATACAATCACTTTGCATAATGCAACCTGAATGAAACAAACCAGACCATTCAGCCATGAGATGCTGCAGTTGTGAACAAAGTGCCCAGAATAAAAATGTTTAGGAGACATAAACCTCACAGTCCTCTCTGACTTTGGATTTTCCTTTCCCCATGCTGAATCCATTAATTTAGGTGTTTTGAACCATGACTTAAGGAGGGCCTTAACTCTATGGGGATTGTATGACTGCTACCAGTTCATACAATCTCTCTATGGATGGGATTTTAAAAAAATACTCTGAGGTAGACCATGATGAAATCCCATTTTCTAGTCTAATTCAGTGGGTACAGGCTGGAATTTTCTTTTCCACACTTACTTACATTAACGAAGTAGTCCATGCTGTAACAGATAACTGATGTTACCACAGTTTGGAAAGCACACACATAAATGAAAATATAATTCAGCCTTCTTACAAATTGTAAAACTGGACAGCCTGTGACCATCTGACATTCCACATCTGAGAGAACATCTGTAAAGGACAATACTGTTCTTTCTGTAAGAGTACTACCCTCTAACTGTGACCACTACAGAAAGACCCTTCTCAAGTCAAGCTTTATTCAACATTGAAAGTACATGTGAAAAAATTAATGCTATTTCCAGTGCAAGACAAAATATTCATGACTATTACATCCTTAAATCACACCCTATGCCTGCTTGTATTATGGGTAATAGTAAATACTGTGCATCTCAGCCCCGGCTCCAGCAAGATTAAATACATTGTGCAAGATTAAATACCTTTTGCAAGATTAAATAGGATGTAGTCCTTAGTGGAAAAAAAAAAGGGTGGGGAGAGATTGAAAGCAGCTCACAGGGGAGTTTAATGCCAAATACATTTCCCTTGAGTTGGCTTTGATCCAGGTGAAGACCTGTACTTTAAGTAACAGAGCTATTTCTTTCTAGAGAAAACTTGAAATCAACTCCAGTAATAAGTACTTTCAATCTAAGAAATCTTGGTGGTAACTGTCAGTTTTTTCTGTTGTTCTGTAGTAACTCATGGTAGTAATATTGTATAAGAAGCATTTTTTTTCATTTATAGCATTATTAAGGTAGGTCTTCAGGAGCAGAGCAATCCAGAGTCAGTGCATGGAGTCACACTTGAGAGTCTGCAAGTCCAGCTCAAAATCTGACCTTGGATCAAATGAGGAACCTGACTGTCTTCTCTCAGCATTTGTTTTTGCTGCCCCACAGGCTGACAAAACACATGATAGGCAGCTTCTACTCAGAAGATATTCCTTTCCAGCTTTCTAAAGGTCCAATGGAACTGTCTGGGAAACATTACATGAGAATTCCTTTTACATCTACTGCTACTCAGTAAAGAGTCTAGTTTAAAATACATGCTTAACTGTTGATAGAAATGGGACATAGGCATATGTTTAGTGTTTGTCTTAATAAAGCCATATCTTTGAAAGTGTAACCAAAGTGACTGCTCAGACCAGCATCCTGCATTTAAAACTAATTAATATTTTCCTAAGTCCAGAAAGACTAAATTCTGCCATAATTAGAGCTGGGTAGAGAAATATCCAGTTGCAACATCAATTCCTCTGATGTTTGATGACCAGTCAGAATGAAAAAGACATCGGCTATTTGGGAATGTTTCTGGCAGAAGCCAAGCAGGCTGCCTGCATGCCTCTTCCCTGCTACCCGGCCTGCTTGGCTTCTTGTGCTTTGGTGGCTCTTCTGCTGACTATTTAGTTTCTAACCAGACTGTACTCAGATTTGGAAATGGCAAAGTCCTCTGTGGGAGAGAATTGCTGTTTTTTCTCCAAACCACTTTCTGGTGTACGTAAATTTCTGTAATTTGGAGTAATTTAGTCAGGCTATAACTTTCTAATGTAGAGCTAAATGAGAAGACAGATATTTTTAATAGCTATTTCACCTTATAGTCAGTCACCTCATGGATTATTGAAGCCAGTGCACATGCTAGTATGAATGGAATAGGAACTGATGACACGATAAGTGTGCCTCAAAAATTTGACTGTCTGTGGGCATAAAATAGGTTCAATTTTGCTTCGCTGAGTAAGAAAATTAACATTGGTCATGCGTGACATGTAACTCTGTTTGTGGTATCTTTGTAAGGAAAGGTTATAGTTTCACTGCACAGTGAAATCTGATTTCAGAAAGTATTCATCTGTACTAACCTGCAGGGTGCAGACAAAGCACTCCCTGTTTTGGATGCCTTTACAGACTACAATAAATCTCTGGGGAACCACTCAATCTTAATTTTGGAATATCACAATCAGATTTTTCTGCTAAGTGTCAAAGAGAAACCTTTCTGACTGTATTTTAATTTTTAAAAAAAGACACCTTTTCTTTTCATAAATTAACCCTTTCCCTCTGGCAATATATTTCCCATTTCTCTATAGAAGAAAATACAGTATTATGAAGAAAAATGTCAGAAATCAAATGTGAAAAATCAGTAGTGCTCTAATCAAAGCATTGGAAAGTAAATAGTGTGGTAGTCAAAGAAGTCTGCTTGGGTTTATGGGTAAGAAATATCTGTTTAGGCTGTGTCTTTGATTGTGATCCAGTGTCTCACTGAGAAATTGATGCATAAATTTTCATATATTGATTATTTTCCTCAGGTTTTTGTAATACCACCCTTATTTTCTTTATGACAATAGACAGATTATGCTTTTGTGTCCAGATCAGTAGAATATAAAGTTACCCTCTCTCCATATGTAACTCTTCCTTGCAAACCCAAACACAGGCATAATAGAGAATCTGCAGAAATGACAGACGCTCTTTAAGGATACCCTAAGCAAACAAAAGAAGTATAAGGTTTGAGCAGCTCCTCCTTTCCTCACATTTACCTTTGTATATGAAAGCATTTCAACCTCTAAAATGGGGTTGTCACTCTGTGGAGAGCAGTACCCTAGGTCAGTACTGACACAATATTTCATATTGTCAAATTAGAATTTTGATTAGGCACAGCATACAGGCTAAAAAAAAAAGAAAGTGGCTGTCAAAGAAGCAAAAGTAATGCAACTGTACTCCATTTCCAGATATTAGAATGGAAAAAATATTTTTCTATCCTGGATGGATTATTCTGTATTTCAGCACTTTTAGTTCCATTATTTGCTGCTTAGAAGACCTTGTTTGAATAGGTACTTGACAACACAAACTTTTGTGAAGGGACCATGTTTCATTCTGGCCTTGAATCAAACTTATTCTGAAGAAGTTTATTTTCATGTCTGAAATGGCTTTCCTACTGTTTTTGACAAGGGTGGGAACTAGATCTGGCTACCTTTGTCCACCAGGCTTGTATCCCACGGCTTGGTTATTTTACTGGATGTGTTTAATGTTTATAAATTTTTAAAATTCAAGGACAGGGCAAGGAATCTGGAATTGCACACTTTGGAGAACTGTAGTTAACTACAGAATTCATACCTTTGTCATTCCTCTGTTGTATCTTTTGCTTTAGGGATCTGATGGTCAGATTTTGTAATAAGATTTAGAATTTCCTTTGTACTTACAATAGGACAGTGTTTTCCTGCACTCCAGAGACCCACTTCTGGAAAGACATAAAGCAGACCACAGTTTATCTTCAGGATCTCAGCCTTTGTTTAAAACAAACAAACTGAAGCACAAATGTATTAAAATTATTTGGAGACTACGCCATTAAGCATTGTATTACCTTGCTTTTAAGCATCCAGGTTCCCCGTGGATTACATGGCAGTTGTCACCCAGGGTCGATGACAAGCACCATCCCAAGCAGGGAGTGCCTTAGTCAGCATCATCTCAGAAGGGACCTGCTGTGTGCTGGGACAACTTTTCAAAAGAAAATGTTTATTGTCACTGCTTTTTGTGTCAATATAATACTGCATTAGATATAATTTTTGCCTGTCCCTTGGTCCAGGGAGAGGGACAGTCTGCTCTGTGGATACTTGTTGCACCTCTATGTGAGTTAGGCCTCAAGTTCATGTGAGCATAGGGGAGGTTGGAAGGGACTTTGGCATGTGAAGAAACAAATTTAGACCCGCAGGAAATTTTAACATCTGAAAAGATGCACATACAGAATTTAGTTTACAGTAGGGTTGGTTGATAGCTAAAATGAGATTCCCATTGGGTATCATAATAACAGAAATTATTATGGTACCCAAAATCAGCGTAAGAATTTACTTTTTCCCAGAGTGGTTTCTTAGTCTGGGGATTCTAGGGTCCCCAAAACTGGGTTCTGAGCTTTAGACACTTCAGTGTAGTTTTTAACTTTCATTCTCTCAAGGTGCTGAAGAAACTACAAACTTTGGACAAACTTATGACATAAAATGGTTGTTGGGGATGTTTTTTTAACTGAAATATGAATGTGTCAGACATTTTTGTGTAGCCATGTGGCTACATGGCAACCATCAGTGGGAATTTTGCTGCTTATCCTCACATTTGCAGGCACAAGAATGTGGGAACTAGGACTGTTCATGAAAAGATAAAAGGGGTTTTAACATGCAACAGTAATTTCTGTTTTCCAATGTCATAAAAACAAATCTTAGCATCTTGTTGCTATTACATTAATGATGTATGACTTATACTGTTCTTGCTTTAAGTGATGCTGTTTTATTCAAATCTCATTAATTACGTGGGTGCATTTGTGTGTGCAAGCACACAGAAACAGACTACAAACACAAAACGAAACAGCAGTTCTGTAATGTCAATTGTCTTACTAATTTATAGGATGATAACTTTAGTTCTTCATTTTAATGCTGCAAATATCTGTTTGTTTAGGATTGTAGTGTTCAGAAGATTATATAGGCTTTCAAAAAGGTGGCAAACTTTACATTAGAAGGCAGTCATTTCACCCAGACAGCAGATATGAAGAGCTCTAAAAGCACAGAAAACAGGTAGAAAAAGAGTACTTCAGAAGAACAGGTATATTTGTAGAGTATTTTGCCTGACTTAGGCAAAGGAAGTTAATAATTTCCTAAAAATACCCTTCAAAACCAAGCTACTTGCTCAGAATGAGAGAAGTGAACATGTAGCTTTGGTATGTGGCACTCCTTTGAAATTCTTTATGGGTTTGATCTGACAGGTACCATCATTGCAAGACATGGCCTTTAGTCCAAATAACACATCATTTAATCAAAATTACATGGGGAAATGTTAATGTACCCACCATATTTTAAACAGTAGTAATATTCAATATGCAAAAAAATATTCTACAAAAGTATCATTGCATTGTAGCTTGCCAGACTCTTCCAGGACAGCTTAAAAATGCATGACAGCATCCAGCAAAGCATACCATCTGAGCAAAGGGCAGTGATCCCTGGAAAGCTGTCTTCTTGTGCTTTTATCCTATCTAAGCAAAATAACCCCCAAAGCAATCCTATGTGTGTGTTCCAATCCTTATGTATTCACGTCACCTCACAGAAAAGACATGAGGCTCAGGGGTATTCAGACCCATGTACTGTAAATGTGTTCACAAGGGTGAGGAACCAGAACTTACATTAAACCAGCTGCCTTTAGGAGTTCTACCAGAGTTGCAGCTGAGCAGAACCATGCAATTACCAGTAGTTAATGCCTTTTTCCAGTCAAGTACTATTCAGTGACTGTTTTTTAATGGAAGTAAGGACAAACCATGGACACTATTTTGATCCAATATTATAAAAATATTATAGGAGTCACAGTCACAGCACTTTTTCTGACAACCTATCCTTCTATTTCTCTTTGGGAAAATAAGCTCTGCTGTTCATTTCTGTGTCACAACTTTGAGGTTTACCATGTTATGATTCAGAGTGGGTGGCAATCATCATCTGACCTCATCATAAGAAAGAAAAAGCATTATCAACATTGCAGATAACTAAATCTCCAGCCTGGCTCTGAGAGAAGAACCAAAAGATGAGTTGTATATATTTATGGCTTTTCTGCACTGCATTCAGCAGAGAGGTATGGGCACTCACACAAAGAGAGCTGGTGACAGGTCTGGAAGCAATCTAGCTGTCATAAACCCTAAACTGCTCTCTTCAGGGGAATCCGGCCCATTCTGACACTCAACCAAAGTTGTTTAGGCATAGCCATACTCATTCCCATCTTGAAGTATGCTTAAAGTCTGATTCTGCACCTAAATTTCACTCACTGCTGAACTTTCAAGAGCTTTTGGTCCTGAAGTTAGCCGCTAAAATCAAATTAAAAAGAAAAACCTCTACAGGAGTAAATAGTACCATAACCATCTCCTTGTGCCAGTGTTAATGGCAGAGGGGTGAATAACACAGTGAAATTTTAGTAGTGGTTGTAAATTACTCTCCACCAACATATTTGGTAGAATCACCTTTACATAGTTGCATGTATGGAGAGGGACAGTAGGAAGATCAGGCCCCAGAGTAAACGTTTTTTGTGGTATGCTCTAGGCATAGATGAGAGACACCTGTACAACAAATGCTAACTTTTATTATAGTTCTGGAAAAGACCTTAGCCAAATTTCTGCCTCTGTAGATTCCTGAATTCAGTACTGACCTTCCCAATGCCAGAGTAGATAACGATTTGTGTAAGTGAAGTCCCTAGAGTCAAGACATCTGTGGGAAACATGAGTATGTGCAGAGTCCTTATTCTGCACATACTCGTGTTTCCCACTAAAAGAACTAGAGTAGCACTGCCTGTCTGAAATATCCCTGTTTGCCTGTAACCACACCACTAAGATCTGCCCAGGGCATTGAATGCACAGTTCTGAATTTTAAGCAGAGGAGTGCAGTTTCAATCGGAGTCTTTTAAGATAAGATTTGTATTTGATCTTTGAAGAACTTGAATCTGTTGACCTTGAGACCATATTTCAGAATTCCTATGTTATTATTTTAGTGTCTCTCTGGAGTGGTGAGTTTGGATGTGGGAGGAAGGGTGGAGTCAAATTCTGAGTTTTATTCAAAATTAAATATTTTTCTATGGTAGTTTTAAATTTAACTATAATAAAGAAGTGGGCAGGCTTGTTATGCATTATAAAATAAATAAAATAAATCATTTATCTTTGGATTTTCCCTGTATTTTGGAGATATAATTGCATATATGAAGAGAAATAGTAAGATAGAAATGTAGATACGTAGACTGAGGTCTTCTTTGTTAGAGAAAGAAAAATAGAAGTGAGAGAAGGCACAAGAGTGCTGGCAGTTTCATTTTCCCTGTCTCTCTTCATCTTGGAAAAAGCTGACCACATTTAGCATTGCTCTAATAGATCATCAGGAAGTATAATGAAGGCGACAGCACTATGATATAGAATCATAGAATCATAGAATAGATTGGGTTGGAAAAGACCTCCAAGATCATCAAGTCCAACCCCTGATCCAACTCCAATTACTATATGCTGGACAAGAGCTCTTATTCAAGAAAGCATTAAAATGTGCATAAATGCTTTGTTGATGTATTTGAAGCATCCACTATCAAAGTTCACTTTCTTTGATGCTGTGCAAAAATGAGTTATTTTTTGTCTCAGCAAGAGCCAGGTTATCTAGTAAGGGGTTTTTTCACTTGTTTGGTTGGTTTTTGTTGTTGTTGTTGTGGTGTTTTTGTTTTTGTTTTTATTTTTGTTTTTTTTCTTGTAATTTGTTCTTTATTATTAGCTTACCCAACCTACTGTACTTTATTTACCTTAGGTTTGGTTTAACACTGTAACAATTTCTGCAAACTTTTTAAAACAAAAAGATGCACAATGCAATGCCTGAGGGAAATCTGCAAGACTCAGGTGACTATATTATCTAGACACCTTCATTCTTTATGAAGGCATATATTGCTCTTTTTACTAGAGTTCAATGGTATTTCAAATTTGCTACAAACCAGTTCATATAATTTGCCATAAGAATAGATGCGCTCTTTACTCCGTCTTTTTCTGAGTGAGCAGTTCTCCCAGACACTTCTCAGGTTGTGGGAAACCAGGTTAATTTCCCTCATCTTGAAGAAATCTCCACTCCCATTTCTGAGATTCCATAATTAATAATCCTGATGCTAAATGGCTGTTGAGAAACTTAGCTAAAGGAAGGGACACTCCATTTTTCTCTCGTACAATATCCTGTTTTGTTGAAATAATGCAGTTACGGGCACCAAAGGTGAGAGAGTTGGCCCAAGTACCAGCTCTGGGCTCCAGCTGCTCCCCCTCACCCAAACATCATCCAAATGCTGTTGAAACTGGGCATTCATCCAGCAGCTTTGCAACCCAGATAGGTAGAAATAGACCTAAAGTACACACTCAATCAATGACATAAAGTGTTTGTCATTCCTGCTTTACCTTGGCTGACATTTTTGGCTTACTCAAACCAAAACCTCTGGGAGTTTCATGGCGTCCACCTGCACAGAAAAAGTCTGTGCTTCTGTAGGAATTAAATTTCCCAAGAAATGTCTTCAGTTACTAGGCGTCATCCAAACGGATCTACATTCTGCAGCGTTCACCAGTGTAGGCACACGTCTGGGGTTGTTGATACAGTAGACAATTAAAGACTCAGGTTGACCAAGGTAGAATATGTAAGTCTACTGGTGCATGATTGTGAAAAAAGAACCAAAACATCCAACACTAACCTTAAGAAGATTATAAAATATGATTGCTATTTTAGACTTTCTTATTCCTATAAGGACTGGTTCCATGAAAAAAATTGAACATATTCTAAAGGTTAAATGTCTGATCTTCAGACTCTTTCTTCTTACAAACAATCCTCATAGATTGGTTTATTCAAACTGAAGTGAATAAAATCTTCCATAGATCAGCTAAGCACTTAAAAAATTATCCATATTATTAAGAATATTCTGACTGCCATCAAGATGCTCAAGGGTGTGTTTGAACTGAGATTTCATGTATTTTGCATGGAGTAATTAAAAAACGGTCAAATAGGTAGTTGTCATGGTAGCAAGGAAAACAAATTGTAAATGTGTTGCATCAATTCTGCTATCCTAAGCGTGCATCTAACCCAAAATGCTTGGCTGGATTAGTTCAATGGCACCAACAGCTCCTTCAGGCACTTGTAACTCAGATTGGAAAAGTTTCATTCTTCCTCCTGTTTTGTTGCAATCAATTTTGTCCAGGCTCGACAAAGCATGCTGTCCAGGAAAAAGGCAGGGTCAAAGACAAACAACTGCAGTATAAAGTGGCTGTAATGATCTCCCTTATCGCTGCTACTGCTACAACAAAATGAAAGTTTATTTCCTGTCCTGATAATGCTTATTATAGTGAGATTGCAAGTTATTTTTCTCTTATCTTAGTGAAAATTTAATTTAATTTTCACTTACTTCAAAACAACATTTTTTAACTTCTTTTTCTTATGGAAAGTTCTTCAAGGATTTATAGGACTTTCACATACAGAAATTGAACAAAGATTGTATCAGAGGCATTATTTTAAAATGCATAACGTTATACTTCAAAAAGAATAGCTGAGGGATGGTTCAGAACTTTCTGGAATTTGGTATTTAATCCATTAATCTTTGCAGGAGGCCTCTATAACTGTTCAGCTACATATTGATTGACTACATTATTTTGTATACTTGTTTTAATATCTATTATATCACTTTGCCCCCTACTTTTGACTGTTATCCACTTTTTTTTTAAAATTTGAGTAGGTTCTTAGTGGCTCAAATTGAAACACATGAATATCTCCATGGATTGGAACACATGAATATCCTCGTGGACTTCACATTGACATGTGAAACCTACTTTGATGCTTTAATCTTACTGTAGTGACCAACTCTTTTACACATGTTCCCATAATTAATATTGTATATCCTCCATCTGTTATTCCTTTCACCAGAGGGGGAATTCAGACAAGACCTAATCAAACTGGGTGCTCTGAAAATGAACTAATTACTTTTTTTTGTTATTATCACTACCAGAATTTGGACTACAAAAATACCAAATTAAGCATGCTAAAAGCATAGGGCTTCATATACCAATGTAACATTGATTCCAAAAGGATTTAAATCAAAGCACTTGTCAGGCACTGCCAACTTTAACTCCTTAATTGTGAAAAATATTTCATTAGCATGGCAGACTGGCAAGACTGGAACTATGTTGAGAAATAAAAAAAAAAAAGAATGTTATTTTATGTTTCTTTCCAAAATAACACGAGAAATATGTTAATAACCTCTCTGATAAAACTATTGTTCCCTCCCACACATAAAGTTACCATTTATAGTACACTTGTATTTTAAAGTAACCTCCTCTTATTTAGGTTAAATAAGCATGTCTCCTTAGCAACAAATGTCACCTAATTAAAGTATGTCACTCAGCTTAGCATCTCAATGAAAGATTGAAGTAGAAAGGGCACTATGAAGCAGCTGAAAGAAAAAGGGAAAAAATGTGAGGAATGCCAAGGGCCTTCCAGGAATATCAGATAAGAAAAGTCACTGAAAAATGAACCCATTAAAGGAATAAAAATATATTTAAGTTACTCTTGTTTAGAATTGCATATAAGCCTGGACTTTTCATTCTTTGAAGGTTTTTCAGTGTATCATTAGGTACAATTTTTAGGGTTTTTTTTTTTCTTGGTGAGGAAAAAGTATATAACTAACTTCCCTTAAGTAACCAGCTCAAAAATGCCCTAAAAGTTTGAGGTAAGAAACCCTCTTAATATTGTTCACCATTGAAAAAAACAGTGTGGGAAAGTTCAAGTTTTAGAACGAAAAATACCTTATCCCATTATCACAAAAGTGGGATCAAAGAGGGACCTTTGGAAATGCCCTGCACTTTCTTGAGTGTTGCTGACATTTCTCTGAATAGAAGTCTAGGGTCTAGGAGAGTGCTGAGGACTTCTTGTGACTCCCACTTTCCTTAGGCTTCTCTACAGCAAATGGGTTGAAGGCTAAATCCAGGAACATTGAAATCCCTGTGGTACATGAATTAGATAGTTGCAATGACTTCTGAGGCTTTAAAAGGGCCCCTGTGATGTTACCTGTACTGGAAATGGTCTTTGGGACAACTAAGCTTTCATACCTGGGAAGGTCTAAACCTGTCTATGTAATGTCCACTCAGCTAGCTAAATGGGATGGCTGACTATGGATTATTCTCATGGAAAGGGCTTACAGAACAAGGAACACACGGAAACAAAACATGGAATTCATTTACCACGTCTCATGGGCAGGTGAGTGTTTAGCCAATCTCCAGGAAAGCAGGGTTCCATCATGCAGAACAGTGACTTGGGAAGACAAATGCCATCACTCCAAACATCCTCCCCTTTCATTCTTCTTCCTCCCAGTTTATATGCTGAGCATCACTCCATATGGTATGGAATATCCCTGTGGTCAGCTGAGGTCAGCTGTCCCGGCTCTGTCCCCTCCCAGCTTCATGTGCATCCCCAGATTTCTCATTGGTAAGGTAGCACGAGAAGTAGAAAAAACCTAGAAGCTGTGCAAGAACTGATTGGCAATGACAAAAATATTTCTACACTATCGACACCATTTTCAGCACAAATGCAAAATATAGTCCCATACCAGATTTTATGAAGAAAATGAACTCTATCCCAGCCAAAACCAGAGTACCAACTTTGGACTCAAAGTAGGTAGAAGGGATGATGTGTCACAAAGCCAGAACACTAGCTCTCCCCTTGTCATGTTTTTTTGTCTATAGGCTCTTTTCTCCACTTGTACAGAGGGGAAAATATGTGGTAGCAGTGATTTTATGACTTGATGCCTATATGTAGTCCCTAGATAGGAGGATATATGTAGTTGAAATATCCATACTGTAAAGGTACCTTGTTTCTTTCTCCCTTCCTTGCACAAGATAGCCACTCAATTTCCTTTGCACTCTGGCTATGACTTCCATCCTCTGCAATCCAGGTTGCACCATCTGAAAAGCTTCCTTTTTTATTTCCTTTTTCCTTTCATTTTACCTTCCAGTCTAATGAATTATGTGGATCTTGAAAGAGAAAATCTGAGCTGAGAAATGTGGAATGCAATATTGAAAAGAACCTTTCTTATTTTTCGTTTCGCTGTAGTTCAGAAAGGGACAGCAGCAAATGCTTTAGACCAGCCATATGGAAATTACTTCAACTACTATCTCAAGTGTAATGCAGCTGAGGTATTTTTAGCATACCGTACTGATTAGATACTTGTAACATCCAGCACTTCTAAGTGCTGTAGTTTGACAATAGTTTTGCACAGTGCTCTGAAAAAATCTACAGTGTATTCCAACTCAATGAAGTTTTAGCAGTAATTAACTTGGGAGTTTTTAGACATCACATTTGCACAGGAATGAAATACTATTGAGTCATTAACTTAGATTTAAGAACAGAGGAATACTTTTCATAGCCACATTTTACCTCTATTAAGAATGTGCTTTTCACAGGATTGCTTTCTCACAGTCAAATTAAGTAAATAGAAAGTCATTTGTTTTGTATTGCAAAGCAAATCATATCACCTGCAAGGCTTTTGTGGCTTGTGGGTAATAGTAAACAATTTTGGCATGACTATGAACAAGTTTTCTATATTTTTCCTTTGATTTTGTACAAGTTATAAATGGGAATGACTGTGTGCTGGGCCATTTGAAAAAGTATGGTCCTTATCTGTTAGGTAAGGAAGTTTCATTCTGTGTGTCCTCAGCTCAAAGGACCTGAGAATCTCCACTTCACTGGAAGGAGCCAGTACATTAACTTCTATTCCCAAAAAAAAAGTACATATTTTAAACCTGCAATATCACATTCAATTTATAGAAAGTGCAGGGGGAAAAAAATCAGAAAATTGGAAGGAATTAAAAGAAGACCAGTAGAAAAAAAATAAAGCAAGGAAGAATTACTTTTCAAAGGTTCTGAATTTGTAAATCACTATTTTGGAACCAATTTATTAAACCCAAGGTAACATTAGGAAGGCAAAGGATACAGATCTCATTTAAGACCAGCACACAACTGGGGGAATGGATATCCATTACAGCAACTACCTGTAAGGGTTTTGAGGGTGTAAGCAGCACAGATATTATTTGAGGATGAGTGACATTAACAACATGAGCTACAAGAAAATACAATAATAGCATGAAATATTTGCTGATTATATCTACGGAGAATTTTTTGGCACTGGAATAACCTACTGAGAAAACAATGAAAGCCCCTATTGTCTAATTTCTTTAAACAAAACTGAGAAAAAACACTGGAAAAACATCACTCAGAGAACAATAATTACCGGGAGAGGAATGGAAAAATCAGTACATCATCTTAGATCGTTTAATCAGTCCATGACTTTTATGATTCTGTGAAGCCTTACAATTGCCTTAAAAAATGTTACTGGAGGCCTAATTCATTGTATGATATACACCCAAACTACTTGCACTCATTAAAAAACACACTGAAAAATACTTAGTCTTTTTCCTGCAGAAAATAACAATGCCCTCTGTTTTCCTAGATATCGATTTCCCTCACAGTTTATGTGGAGAAGGCTTTTCGAAGAGAAGTAAGAGATGGCAGGATTTTTCACACTACACAAATCTGCACTGATTGAGCAACTAAAAATGGCTTTTAGGCAATATTCTGTTCACACTGCAGGTGAGTGTCTCTCTGGTATTTGGCATCCTAAGAATCTTTATTGGTGAAGAGTAATTTGTCAGATGAAAATTCAAGGAAAGGAACAATTCAAAATTTATCTCCTTATAGG